GAAGGGAGCATGAGGGTTTTCAAAAATCAAAAAGGGGTGTGTGATGCCAAAAAGTTTGGGAACCACTGCTCTAGTGCCTCTACCTTTTTCAACAAATAGATCTTATCCTTAACACGGTAACATTCAATGCGCATGTTAATACTTGGGACATGACCACAACACATGGACAAGAACACAACATCTTCCATTTGCCAGGAAGTTAAAATGTCCATGGCAGTTCTCTGAGTTAGGGTTGGACCTCGTGTCCATATATATTTAGCGGGTGTCAGTCTGGCTTGCATTTAAAGATCTATTTCTTCTTTTTACAGTAATTACCACAACCAAAGAAATCACCACATCATCCACGCCAGGTAATCATGAGGAAAGCAGTCCAAGGGTTTCTTCCCTCTAGTGCATGGGTTCCCAAACTTGGGGGTGTGCCCCCCTTTGGGAGCATGAGGAAATTCCAGGGGAAGGGGGCCTGAGGGTTTTCAAAAATCAAAAAAGGGGTTTGTGATGCCAAAAAGTTTGGGAACGACTGCTCTAGTGCCTCTACCTCTTTCAACAAATAGATCTTATCCTTAACATGGTAACATTCAATGCGCATGTTAATACTTGGGACATGACCACAACAAATGGACAAGAACACAACATCTTCCATTTGCCGGGAAGTTAAAAAGTTCACAGCAGTTCTCTCAGTTAGGGTCTGGCCTCATGTCCATATACATTTAGTAGGCTGTCAGTCTGGCTTGCATTTAAAGATCTATTTCTTCTTTTTACAGTAACTACCACAACCCAAGAAACCACCACACCATCCACGCCAGGTAATCATGAGGAAAGCAGTCCAAGGGTTTCTTCCCTCTAGTGCATGGGTTCCCAAACTTGGGGGCGTGCCCCCCTTCGGGGGCATGAGGAAATTCCAGGGGAAGGGGGCCTGAGGGTTTTCAAAAATCAAAAAAGGGGTTTGTGATGCCAAAAAGTTTGGGAACGACTGCTCTAGTGCCTCTACCTCTTTCAACAAATAGATCTTATCCTTAACATGGTAACATTCAATGCGCATGTTAATACTTGGGACATGACCACAACAAATGGACAAGAACACAACATCTTCCATTTGCCAGGAAGTTAAAATGTCCATGGCAGTTCTCTGAGTTAGGGTTGGGCCTCGTGTCCATATATATTTAGCGGGTGTCAGTCTGGCTTGCATTTAAAGATCTATTTCTTCTTTTTACAGTAATTACCACAACCAAAGAAATCACCACATCATCCACGCCAGGTAATCATGAGGAAAGCAGTCCAAGGGTTTCTTCCCTCTAGTGCATGGGTTCCCAAACTTGGGGGCGTGCCCCCCTTCGGGGGCATGAGGAAATTCCAGGGGAAGGGGGCCTGAGGGTTTTCAAAAATCGAAAAAGGGGTTTGTGATGCCAAAAAGTTTGGGAACTACTGCTCTAGTGCCTCTACCTCTTTCAACAAATAGATCTTATCCTTAACATGGTAACATTCAATGCGCATGTTAATACTTGGGACATGACCACAACAAATGGACAAGAACACAACATCTTCCATTTGCCAGGAAGTTAAAATGTCCATGGCAGTTCTCTGAGTTAGGGTTGGGCCTCTGTCCATATACATTTAGTAGGCTGTCAGTCTGGCTTGCATTTAAAGATCTATTTCTTCTTTTTACAGTAACTACCACAACCCAAGAAACCACCACACCATCCACGCCAGGTAATCATGAGGAATGCAGTCCAAGCGTTTCTTCCCTCTAGTGCATGGGTTCCCAAACTTGGGGGTGTGCCCCCCTTCGGGAGCATGAGGAAATTCCAGGGAAAGGGGGCATGAGGGTTTTCAAAAATCAAAAAAGGGGTTTGTGATGCCAAAAAGTTTGGGAACGACTGCTCTAGTGCCTCTACCTCTTTCAACAAATAGATCTTATCCTTAACATGGTAACATTCAATGCGCATGTTAATACTTGGGACATGACCACAACAAATGGACAAGAACACAACATCTTCCATTTGCCAGGAAGTTAAAAAGTTCACAGCAGTTCTCTCAGTTAGGGTCTGGCCTCAGGTCCATATACATTTAGTAGGCTTGCATTTAAAGATCTATTTCTTCTTTTTACAGTAACTACCACAACCCAAGAAACCACCACGCCATCCACGACAGGTAATCATGAGGAATGCTCCTGATTGATAAGTATGGGCTAAAAATCACCATCAAACATATTTTGCTGTAAAAATAGTTGTAAATAAGAAGTAATTCTGAAGGTTTATTTGTGAAGACCCAACAGTAGTTGATGGTAGTAAAGAAACACTCTCAATTTGAAAGGTTGTCAGTTTATAAAAGTTGTTTAAAAGAAGTGTCGGGTCCCCTCCTTTTATCACCCTCTAGCAGTGGGACATTGTGGCAAGGGCCCCTCTTATCCAAGCCACCACTGGGCAGGACTCATACTCCCAACCCCAGGCTACTTCTATGCTGGCAGCTTCTTGCGCAAGAACTCTTTTGCGGAAGAGTTCTTGTGCAAAAGCTCTTCCAGAAGAGAGCAACTACACTGGCATGTGCTTTTGCGCAAGAGCATCCATGCCAGTGTAGACACTTTCTTGTGCAAGAAAGCTCTGATGGCCATTTTAACTATTGGGCTTTCTTGCGTAAGAAATTTGTGTTGCCTGTCTATACTGGCCTCTTGCGCAAGAACAGTTGCACAAAAGGGCTTATTCCTGAGAGGGAGCATCAGAGTTCTGGCGCAAGAAGCCCTGATTTCATACATTAGAATGTCAATTTACTTGTGCAAGAACATGCAGCCAGTGTAGAAAGGCAGCAAGTTTTTGCACAAGAGCTGCCGCTTTAGCGCAAGATCGCGCTAGTGTAGAGACAGCCCCAGAGTTTAGGTTTTTGCAGCTGGTCTCTGGGGTAGGGAGCCTGGCCACGCCTCCTCAGACTCCCTCCCTAGCTGCCTCCACCTAACACTGTTGCAGATTGTTTTCTCAAACTTCTTCCTCTCTGTCTCTCCACCGCCTCCCTTCTGTCCTCTCACGCTCTCCTCCAGCTTCCAACTGCTGAGGCTTTTAAAGGCCCTCGGGCAGCCAGCAGAGAAGTCAGCTGGCCCCAATCTGCCTGCGCCAGCTCCCTCCCAGCTGCATCTAATTGGCCTGTAGTTCTCTGCTTCTACTTGCAGGTTTTTTCCCCTTTTGAGTTGCCTTTTTCCCTCCCTGCAGCAGCTCCCTGGCCTGACCCTGCCACAGACATCAATAGAAAGAATGACCCGGCTCTATTGAGAAATCACTGAAACTGGCTAAATACAAACTGTTGTCAAATGTGCTGCCTGCACCACTTCCCACAGCTCCCATTGTCTGGGAACAGTGAACCGCAGCCACTGGGAGCTGTGAGTAGCCATACATACATACATACTTCCAGGTAAAGAACATGTCTGGTGGCCTGCCAATAGCTACATCAGCAAACCATGTCCAGCCTGCAGGCTGGTTATAGCCCATCCCTGGAGCAGCTGGTAAATTTTACTCTTGGCTTTGAAGGTTCCTAGTTATTTTTCCAGGAGTGCCTTTGGGGGTTTTAGAAATATATGTCCCACCATTATCTAATTACAGTTAATGTGCATGTTACCTTTTGGAGCCTACACATAACAAGTGGGCAAGGATCCTGCATCTCTTACAATTGCTAGGATGTTAAAACTCCCATGAGCTATTTGTCTGAGTAATGATCAGAGCCCATGTCCATAGATGTTCTATCTTTACCAGACTATCCTAGTGATGTGGATATATTCGTTTTCTTTCTTCTTTTTTTTTCTCCTGCAGCTTCCGCAATTACAACAAGTAAGTAGAAAGAATGCGACCAGGAATGATAAATATGGGGCTTAAAATTAACCAGGCACAAACACCTGCTGTCAAAAAAATAATTCTTACTGTGAAGGGCTGCTGATTTATTGCAGTAAACTCATGCCGTTCATTAAAAAAAAATTGTGATTTTAAACAGGGCAAGAAATAGTTCTGTTAAACAACATAAAACCAACTGAGCCAATCACTCAGACAAACAAGTTTGGTTACAATTTGCAAGTGATAATGCTGCCTACTTCCTGTTTACAGTGTCACCTGAAAGTGAGAATAGGTCTTCCCATGGCACTGTTGCAGCCAGTATCAGTAGTTATTTGTGTGTCAAATGTGCTAAACATTCTTGTGTCCCTTCATATTTCAACCACCATTCCAGAGGACATGCTTCCATGCTGCTCACGGGTTATGCTCAGTAATGATCCAAAGCAGAATGGACAGATGCATGTTCATTTTCATCATCTGAGTCAGAAGGCTGATTTTCTATCCTGGTTCTGTAGTTTCTGTTTATGGTGTTGCTCTTTTAAGACGGTTGAAATCAATCTCCAAACCTCTCAGATTTTGGAAGGCATTTCTGATCCTTAAATCTTGGGCTGAGTGTTATAGCTATTTTTAGAAATGCCAGATTTGTACCCTCTTTGCATCTTCTCAGATCTGCAGTGAAAGTGGTCTTAAGATGAGCAACATCTGCTGGGTCATACTCTCAGATAGCTATAATATGAAGCACATGGAAAATGCGGGTAAAATTAAATAGGAGACATGCAATACACCCCCAAAGACATGCAATACACCAATACAGTCACAAAATTTAAGTCACACATTTTTTTCTTAATGACCATCATCAGCATGGAAGCATGTCCGCTTGAATGGCAGCTTAAACTCTCATGAGTGATTCACCTGTACACTAATCAGAGCAGATCTCCACAGCTGTCATATGTTTAGCTCTTTGGAAGGAAGTTCTACTGCAGCTTCCACAGCTGCATCAGGGAAGCAGAAGGAATAAGAGTGGGGAGTGAAATACCTGATATTTTCAACCATCAAGCACAACTGTGGTGCTAAAGAAAAATCATTATCACTGAGCAGTTAATTGTGCAGTGTGCCCATGATCTACAGGGAGGCTACCGTCTTGATCTTTGAGGTCTGCCAAGCTGATGCTGCTGTTGCTTGAACACATGGTGCTGACAATCTAAGGTTTTGTTCCCTCTAGTGCCCCCTAGTGGTTGTAATAAATAGCTCTTCTAACATGTTAACATTGAATGTTCATGTTAAATATTTGGTTCCTTGCTGCAACAAATGGACAAGAACACAACATCTTCCATTTCCCAGGAAATTAAAATGTTCATGGCAGTTCTCTGATTTACTGTCAGGCCTAATATAAATATATACAGGTAGTCCCCGACTTACGCGGATCCGACTTATGTCGGATCCGCACTTACGAACGGGGCTGCCCCAGAGTACACGGACTGCGGGACCTCGCGGTCCTGCCGCCCGTGTACTCTGGGGCTTTCTCTGCGTCTCC